TGACAGATTGAGGTACAGTAGTGATCTGTGGAAAGAAATGCAAAAGCTGGGATCACAAGAATGATTCTCATGGGGTGTCATTTCCCAGAGTTATCAGGAATTTGTGGCAAGGCTGTGTATTAGGATAACATTGCTCTGTTGAAACCTTGGCAGCTTTTCATCTGTTCCTTTCTGAGCACGAGTATCAGATCCTACACTGCACAAGATTTGCGAGTTTTATACCATAGCTTGAGGGGCTATCTTGGGATTATTGTGTGCTGCAAGAAACCAGACTGAAAGAAAAATCCTACAATGTCCAATAAGCCCTAGAGAAATTACTTAGCTTGTTCAGGCATGCCAAGGTGTACAAAAAGAGAGAGATGAGATTAAAATGCTCCAGCTGGTTGGCTGTCTTTATTCTCTGTATTATCTTTAATCTTCTATTTCTCTGCAATAAATACACTGGGAAACAAAATTATTTATTTTTAATTGTGTACTGTTTTTGAAGCAACAATTGTTAAATAATATATTACAAACAATCTAATGAGGGGTCATAATAACTGCTACCACTGCTTGTTTCCTGCACATATTTTACTGGCAAGGACATTGGTGAAGAGTTAATTAAGAAACTAAACTGCAAACTGTACCCTGAATTAGTAGTGAAGCTGGAAACAGAGATGGGAATGAGACTATGATTTGTCTCAAATACCAGCAATTTGTCTTCTGAAACCATGACAGCCAACGCCTAATTTCCATTATGCAACGCAATGGCAAAGAACGTTCCACTGCAGTCTTGATCAATATAGGGTCACATGGTGCCTCCTCTGGGAAAATCTCCTATTTACCCATGTAATTGATGTAGCACAGTTTCCTGCAAAAGAAGGAGACATCTCCTTTAGATCTAATTATGGGCTGTAGCTAAGTACGTTTTTGCTAAAAGGAAAATTCTATATTTCAAAAACAAAAAAATGTTGTTTTCTCTGTTTTATTTGCCAGGGGCCATGTTTTGCAAAAAAAGAGCTCCAGTGAAATCTGAACATTGATCTGATGCATAGCTGTCTCATTAAATTTTCCTGTAAGCATATGTGTCTGTGTTCTTGTGTTAATTAGGTAATGTACATATTATAAATCAGGGACAAAACAGACAGCTGTAATCGTGAGACATCAGCGCATATAATAAAAAGAATAGTTTCTGATTATTTCCCTCTGATCTCTTGATAATACTTAGCAATAAAAAAGCCAATCTTAAAGAAATCCATAACTGAACTGTGTAACCTGTTATAAATTATAGCTTAAAGGGGAGTGTAAATATTTTATTTCTTTATGTATTATGATCCGAAATAATAAAATACACCTTTCATAATTTTTTTGGGGTAAACATAAAACAATGTAATTAAATATTTGTATTTAATTTCTTAGCTAGCTTGTGGACCTTTGGATACATTTCATATGTTTAAAGCCTGTTGTTTACAGAGTTCAGTAGGTTAAGCTTTGACTGACGTGTGTTCTTTAGAAAATTAAAAATGTTCTGTGACACGGTTCTGTGTCATGGGGTAACTCAGTACTACATTTTTATTTGTAAAGTAAAGACATAACCTAAATAGTAAAATACTGGTATTATTATTATATTATTATTATTCAGGATTTATATAAAGCCAACAATGTGTGCAGCGCTTTACAACATGAGGGCAGACAATACAGTTACAATACAATTCAATATACAAGGAATCAGTGGGTCCTGCTCATTAGAGCAACAAAAATCAGTTTACAGCTATAAACTTTAAAACGTTTGAATTAAAATTAATCAAAAATCATTATAAACTACCTTTGAACAAAGAAAAAAAAACACAATTTCTGTAATAAAGAAACAAACCACCCAAAGTGAACAATGAATATTTCTAATTTCTATCTATTTATTATGAACATATTGATGTAGACCTTTCCACAGCATCTTTAAAGCTGCTAAGTGGAAAGGTGTACCCTTTTTCTGATCACCATATCAGTCCCATTGTTATATTAAGAAATTATGTTGCACCAACATTCTATTATGCAGCCAATGTTGTTTGAAATTATCTCGCTTAAAGATGGAATGTCTTCTTCAGGCATTGCCAATAATTTCATTTCAAGCTCTGTGCAGAAAATGCAGTGAGCCACTCACCTGATCTGGGGTATCTGCAAAGCTGTGTGCTCAAACACAGTTTTGTTACCAATAAATCCAAAAATCTGATTTTATTCTTCCTAAATACATCATGGCTAGCTGCAGACTGAAATGGAAAGGTCATTTAAGTATATTTTTCTATCTAATAAACAGCATAAAATTAAAAGAGAAACGCAATGGAAATTTTAAATTTATAAGTAAATATGTTTTAGTTAATTTAATTTTTTTGATTGCTTTGCTCTGAATAGCAGTGGCTGTTATGAGGTAATGGGCTATGTTTACTAGACATGAATGCAGGAAAGCATCTGATGCTCATATTGGTGCATCATTCTTCCCATATTTACATTACTCTTGCTGGGGTAAGTAATATAAAGCAATAGGGAGCTGCTTCCCATATGTAATATCCATTGTTTTGGCTGCCATGCTGGATTGTCCTGTCCATTGACTGCCATAATGTATTTTAAGTGTTTTTTTTTTACTACATGAAAGATGTTGATGATTTATTCAATTTACCTAATTCACATACAAGACCTCTACTTGACTGTTTCATGCATGATAATGACCTGATTTATAAGTTAAGTTGGGTTTAAGGGGAAAGCCCACTCTGAGGGACCTCCACCTTAAACCTTTGGTCTGTAGAGAAAGCACTGAAGCACGATGTAGCTAATTCAGTTCAGTCAGTAATGACATGAAAAAATGTTTAGCATCTTAAAAGACATTAGGTGATGACAAGATCCCTTTAATAAGACATTGGCTTGTACTAGATCTGATTTATAGAGAGCAGCATATGTAGGAAGTGTTATCAGCTAGTTTAGATGGCTGATGATAACCTACGATTAGCTTCAAAGTCAAATAAGTCAATAGGTATCTTGTATCCTTCAAGATATTAAGTATCACTAAATGAATTGCACATTACTAGAGCAAGCCTTGCAGACTTTATTCATAAGGCACTAAAATGTGCCTTACATGCATTTTCATTATCTATATGTATGTGGGCTTTAAAAGAAAAGATCATCTGTGCTTCCTGCTCTACAAAGGAATATTTCCATGCAGCCCTTGTAATCATGCAAACACAGCAGCTTCTCTTGTGTTTAGAAATTCATCGTCTCAGCATTTATATTTTCCACTTGTAGGGCAATACTAGAGAATGCAATACACATTTCATCTAATCTTGTTACTGTTTTACTGAGCAAATCTCCGATGTAGTCACAAGCTTTCTGTACTTGATCTCTCTTTCTATAAGCAGACTTTTTAATTCTGTGTTTTTTTTTCTTTTTTTTATTGCTGTGTTTAATAAACCAAACACTGCAAATGGAGACTATTTCTGGTACAATTAGTGCACAGGTTCTTTGTCTTAGAGTGATCCAGATAGTGTGTATTGGTTTCTAGGGCCACTGTTGTTTGACTTTTAAGTCAACCGGATTAAACTAGATCTTAAGTGACCTTGGCATCCTTCTCAATTAACTGATGTGAAGGGTTGCTTTAGGTCATTACACTCTACATTATTTGACAACAAGCAGGTGCTTTTCCACTTGTTGCAATATTGCTTATTTCATTATGTTTCAAGAATGTTGATGAATGATGTGATGACAACATAATAATCTTTTCTTATTGACTTTTATGAACGATAACCCTATGCAAATAACATATACTATATCTAAACCTATACGTTTGATTTACCACAAATAAAGCATTGATACTTTTACACATGTTAGCAATAAATATTTTCAACAATCATTACTTTGTTAAAAATTCTAGGAAATCATTTTGAATTCTCTCAACTGTGTTTTTGTTTCCTTAATTTAAATGTAACCAATTCATAATTATGGATGTGCTAATCAAAAGCAGCATACCTCTCTTCATAAGAAAAACATTTATTCCAGGTTTCTTAAATTTACATTTTGGTTGACTCAATATACAACAAAAAGTAATCCTCTGGTTTTTGAATATTTAGAGTCATGATCAAGTCTGAAAGGTAAACTATACATTTTGCACCTGGTGATTGAAAAGCAGCTATTATACTGTAGATCTATGGTCTTGCATGTGCCTTGCAGAGTAAAACAGTAGGTACAGTTTGAGATGGCATCCTTGACTTTTGCTTGCTGCCCTGCTGTTCAATATACCCATTGAAAGGAGGAGAAGAAGCCCTCTATAATCTCCAATTTGCTCTATCCTGAGTTTACACAAGGCTTATGGGGGTTGAAGGATTATGTAGCAGTACTGGGTGCCTGGGAGGTTAATGACCAATAGTTAGTGATTGGAAGGATGTTAAATTGCATGCTGTCCTATACATTGAAGCACTAGGGGTGTCACTTTGCTTCCCAAGGTGAACAAGCAGGAGGGTAAAGGGAAGAAATAGTGAGAGCAGCAGTTGAGACTGGCTTTAACCACTTGCCTATAGGGCATTTATACACCCTTCCTGCCCAGGCCAATTTCCAGCTTTCAGCGCTGTCACACTTTGAATGACAATTGCGCGGTCATGCAACACTGTACACATATTAAATTTTTTTCATTTATTTGTGACAGATAGAGCTTTATTTTGGTGGTATTTAATCACCTCTGGGTTTTTATTTTTTTCTTAAACAAACCAAAAACCACTGAAAGTTTTGAAAAAAAAAATGTTTTTTCTTAGTTTTTGTTATAAAATTTTGTAAATAAGTGATTTTTCTCCTTCACTGATGTGCGCTAATGAGGCTGCAGTGATGGGCACTGATAGGCTGCACTGATGGACACTGATAGGTGGCACTGATGAGGAGGCACTTGTAGGTGGCACTGATGGGCATTGACAGGCATCACTGATGGGCACTGAAAGGCAGCACTCATATATGGCACTGATAGGCGGCACTGATAGCCAACACTGACTGGCACTGTTAGGCGGCACTGACTGGCACTGTTAGGCAGCACTGATAGGCAGCACTGATGGGCACTGGTAGGCAGCACTGATGCACACTGATAGGTGGCACTGATTGGCAGCACTGATAGGTGGCACTGACTGGCATTGATAGGTGGCACTGATGGGTGACACTGAAAGGCAGCTCAGATGGGCACTGATATGTGGCATTGATGTGCACTGGTAGGCACTGAAATGTGGCATTTATGTGGCACTGATGGGCACTGGCAGGTGGCATGGATGAGCACTGACAGCTGGCACTGCTGGGGTTACACAGATCATCAGGGCACACTGATCATCAGTGCCCTGATGATCAGTGCACATGTCCCCTCTGAGGGATGCCGATTATCGGCTCTGCTCTCCTCTCGAGCTGTCAGCATGACAGCTGGTGAGGAGAGAAATGCCGATAACCGGCATTTCCCTATTTACATGTGATCAGCTGTGATTGGACACAGCTGATCACATGACCGAGCCGCGGCTCTTTCCATTGATCAATGATCCGCTGTGTCCATGGGACACAGCGCAACACCGATCGCCACGCTGCGCGCTCCCGGAGCTGCGCATGCGCGATTAGAATGGGACGACGTCATATGACATCCTCCCAGAATGAGAGAACCGCCTTGCAGCCGTCATTGTACCATATGGCGGGTGGGAGGTGGTTAAAGTGAATTTGTTCTTTTGGCCCTAGGTAAAGCACAGGCTCACTCAAAAATAAAAATGACTTTACCTAAAACATGCCTAAGTTAACAACTGTTCTTAAATGCTGACACCTTGTGATACCTACTCGTACTGTGCATTTATTAGTCTGTTGAGTCCCTTGGATCATAGTGCCAGGCTAAATACAAGGCCTCAATTTCTCTGCAAGTCAAGCTTAAGCCCCATTCCTCATGGTGCTCAAAACCAGTCCCCGTTGCTGGTAATAGTTCCTCACATTCAACTGAACATTTATCATGATATTGAAGACATTTCTTAACTTATCCTAGCCAGTTCTAATGGGTTTCATGAAAATACCTCCACATTTTTATCAAGGTAGTACAAATACTTTATTTCAATCACAATGGAAGGCAGATGTTGATTGTCCAAGAATAGGATAGGTGTAAAAATTGTGGAAACACCCAATTCTAGTTACATAATCCCTTCCTTAGTGTCAAGACCTATGACAGAAGGGACTGTACTGAGACACACAGATCAGCAATTTAGCCCAGTTGTCACCTTAAGCACTTTTAATCCTAGCTTAGCATACACTTTTTTGTCTGTACTTCTGAGGGTCACAGAAGTGCATTTACTTTTGTTCTCCTGTGACCAAGATAGCTGATGGTACAGAACCACACCAGGCTCAGGAAGGATCCTAGCAATATTGTCAGGATCCACTCAACTGCCTGGTTGACAGCTAGCTCTGCCTTTCAGCATATGGTGGACAGCCATAACTAGCCATACCCACCCCTCCCAGCCTGGTGCTCTTGTAAGTGCTGGAGGAACAGAGCAGTGACCGACAGTCACTGTTCTCCTCTGTGAGCTGAGTGATCAGAAGTTGTTAGTCGTAGAACTAGTATGGGACAGCTGTGGTGTCAAACTGATGCTGCAGTGTAAAGGTGATTATGTATGTTTATTTTTTAGTATACCCCAAACCTGTCCTTTAACATGACTTTACCGCAAAAGTTATAATGGCAGAAGAGATGTACCTGCAAAAGAAGAGACCATATTCTCATTTCTCTTGCTGCTCTTTTTCTGGGGAATCTTCCCCTGCACTGCACTGAGAATACATCACTTCCGGGAGTGTCATCCTCCTGTCTACCCCCACTAGAGGGAATAGTAGTACATCTCTTTTGACATTTTTAATTTCATGATAGGATTACTTTAAACAAAAGAACAGTGCCGCAGGAATCCTTTACCCTTTGGAAGGAAAATAAGTGAGTAGAGATATTCAGATTTATATTTTCAGCTGTAGTCTATGCAAATGGGAAACTCTAACCCATGGGAACCACAAAACTCTAGCTTATGGGGCACCCAGGGACATGTGGCATCACATTGAATACTAAATAATTGCTTGTAAGTGAAAATTACCTCAAAGTCATTTGTTTTCTTCATAGAGCCTTCAGGGAACAATCAAAGTCTCTTCTAGTGTCTCATAGATGATATCACATAGGAGCAGTTAAAAAAATTATTTAATGCTGACAATGTGTGCATTGTCATCAGCATAAATTGTTATTAAAGTAATGATAAAATGTAGGTGCATGCATTTAAAATGATGTTTATTTGGTAGATAATATTTAATCTTAAAGATGACTTATTTAATACCAGACTACACAGGGTAATTGCAGCATGAACTGAACACATAATAACAAATATGATCATTAAAAGGATAGCTGGTTTACACATGAGGTTTGTGATAAGCCATCTTGCTGCTTTTGTGCACTCCACAGCAGTTTTGTTGGTTTTGGGCGGATAATATCACTGTAGATACTGTTGTAGAGCAGAGGTCTCCAAACTTTCTAAGCAAAGGGCCAGTCTACAATCCTTCAGACTTTAGGGGGGCTGGACCATTGGAAGAAGAAGATGCTTTAGCATCAGTGAGCATAAACAATGCTCTATCATTTGTTTTAATGGAAGGAATAGTGCCCCATTCATTGTTGGTATCAATGGGAAGAATAGTGCCCCATCAACATTGTCAGTTGGGGAAAAGGTGCACCAAGGGCCAGATTAAGGCAAGCCAAGGGCCACATCCGGCGCCTGGGCCACTGTTTGGAGACCACTGTTGTAGAGGATCTGTTCTTTCCAAAAGTAGTTTTTAAAAGTTGGGCCTGCCCCTTGGCTGTTCAACCTATTGAATAGAACAGTGCAAAAAACAAATGATTGTGTGCACAGTGCAGTGAACGCTATTGATCAGCTGGATTTCATTTTACTATACTCAGACTAGTTAAACATGAATTCATATTGGTTTACCTGGATATATGCACTGTTACATTGTTCTTTATCTGATTAAATAAGTCTGACTAATCAGTGATTGAGTGCCACTGTTAATGAACACCATTACTCTTACATAATGTTATAGTAATATTATGACCCTCCACTCTTGAAATGTTTTTGTACTGCAGTCTTACTTCTTGAGGACTACTTGATTTTTGAATACTTACTGTCAGGGCAGAAATATCAGGCTAAAAACTCCTCACATATTCTGCTCCATCTCCAGCCTAAGTTCAGTGTTGATAAAAGACACATAAAATTGTTGTCATAAGGATTACTTGAAAGTAAACTAAATAGTTTTTCAAACTTTTTTTCATTTTGAATAGAGTAAGAGAGGGTTCTAACCCCTATCAGAAAAAACTGCACTAAAGAGGCAGACTACATCAACCATAGCGACATCTTAGCCAAAAAATTCTTAGAAAAGGGATATCCTGCCCCTGTTATACAGTCATGGCCGAAATTGTTGGCACCCTTGATATTTCTCCAGGAAATCATGTATTTCTCACGAAACGTATTGCATTAACACATGTTTTGCTATACACATGTTTATTCCCTTTGTGTGTATTGGGACAAAACAAAAAAAAGGGAGGAAAGAAAGCAAATTCGACATAATGTCACACAAACCTCCAAAAATGGGCTGGACAAAAGTATTGGCACCCTTTCACAACTGCGGATAAATAAGAATGTTACAAGCATGTGATGCTCCTGTAAACTCACCTGGGGCAAGTAACAGGTGTGGGCAATATAGAAATCACACCTGAAAGCAGATAAAAAGAGAGACGTTCACTAACCTTTGCATTGTGTGTCTGTCTGTGCCACACTAAGCATGGACAACAGAAAGAGGAGACGAGAACTGTCTGAGGACCTGAGAACCAAAATTGTGGCAAAATATCAACAATCTCAAGGTTACAAGTCCATCTCCAGAGAACTAGATTTGCCTTTGTCCACAGTGCGCAACATTATCAAGAAGTTTGCAACCCATGGCACTGTAGCTAATCTCCCTGGTCGTGGACGGATGAGGAAAATTGATGAAAGATTGCAACGCAGAATAGTCCGGATGGTGGATAAGCAGCCCCAAACATGTTCCAAAGACATTCAAGCTGTCCTGCAGGCTCAGGGAGCATCAGTGTCAGCGCGAACTATCCGTCGACATTTAAATGAAATGAAACGCTATGGCAGGAGACCCAGGAGGACCCCACTGCTGACACAGAGACATAAAAAAAGCAAGACTACAGTTTGCCAAAATGTACTTGAGTAAGCCAAAAGCCTTCTGGGAAAACGTCTTGTGGACAGATGAGACCAAGATAGAGCTTTTCGGTAAAGCACATCATTCTACTGTTTACCGAAAACGGAATGAGGCCTACAAAGAACAAAACACAGTACCTACGGTAAAATATGGTGGAGGTTCAATGATGTTTTGGGGTTGTTTTGCTGCCTCTGGCACTGGGTGCCTTGACTGTGTGCAAGGCATCATGAAATCTGAGGATTACCAAAGGATTTTGGGTCGCACTGTAGGGCCCAGTGTCAGAAAGCTGGGTTTGCGTCCAAGATCCTGGGTCTTCCAGCAGGACAATGACCCCAAAACATACGTCAAAAAGCACTCAGAAATGGATGGCAAAGAAGCGCTGGAGAGTTCTGAAGTGGCCAGCAATGAGCCCAGATCTAAATCCCATTGAACACCTGTGGAGAGATCTTAAAATTGCTGTTGGGAAAAGGTTTTAGGTGTCCTTCCAATAAGAGAGACCTGGAGCTGTTTGCAAAGGAAGAGTGGTCCAAAATTCCGGGTGAGAGGTGTCAGAAGCTTATTGATGGTTATAGGAAGCGACTGATTTCAGTTATGTTTTCCAAAGGGTGTGCAACCAAATATTAAGTTAAGGGTGCCAATACTTTTGTCCAGCCCATTTTTTTGGGGTTTTGTGTGACATTATGTCATATTTGCTTTTCTGCCTCTGTTTTATATTTGTTCCAATACATACAAAGGGAATAAACATGTGTATAGCAAAACATGTGTTAATGCAATACCTTTTTTGTGTGAAATACTTGATTTTCAGGAAAAATATCAAGGGTGCCAACAATTTCGGCCATGACTGTATGTGACTCTTTTCAACATTATCTAGAGAGATCAGCTTGTAAGCCTAACCCATCCACCCCAGACGTCAATGTACAACCCATATGCTTCACTACACAATTTCATGCTCATTTCAAGAAAATGGAGAACATTCTACGTAGTAGACACTGGTCCATATTGCTACAGGATCCTTTCCTGCACGCATCCATCACTGATTGTCCCCAAAGTCTTGTACAGGAAGGTGAAGAAACATTAAAAAGCAAAATAGCCACCAGTAACATTAAACGCATTATTCCCAATCCCAAACCACGCACTACATTGGTCCCTTTGGTTGGAATGTACCAATATAAAAAGGAAAAACTACCTCATAAAGGAATTTTACAAATGTTCCACCGAATATGTAAGTTACTGTTTAACATGCCCGTGTGGGTTATTTTACGTAAGTAGGACCATAAGAACGCTACGTAAACACTTTGGTGAGCATAGATGCCTCATTGAAGCAGGTTCTGATAAGCACAGTGTCCCTAGACACTATACAGAACATCATGACAAATCCACCTTGGGGCTCCTTGTGTGGGTCCTGGAACACATTCCCCTATTACCCTAAGTGGCAGAACGTTTTAAGCGCCTCTGCCAATGCAAAACATACTGGATCTTAGACACCCTAGCCCCAATAGGGCTTAATGAGGAGATTGAGATACACACTATATTAATAATCATCTGTCCATTCCTCCAATAATACCTTTAATGTCTATCCTAGCAATGCATCTTCCATACATAGATGTGCAATATACTGACATGCGTACACATAGTCATATGACTTTTCATTCCCCCTCCTCTCTTTTTAGTGACCCCGCTTTCATTATCATGTTTCTGTTTGTTACACCTTTTTTCCACGTTATCGACACTACCGTTTATGCAATTCTACGTTCATTACCAATTTTATTATCATTGCTAATAACAGTATGTCTACACCGTTATACATATATATATCCTTCATAATTTTCTGTTTTATGGTTCAGTGCTCTCTTTTTATTATATTATTTATTTTTTTTATGGCTTTGTGCTTTGAGATCATTTTCCACATTGATATGCGTTTTTTCCATGTTACTGTGCCTTTAAATCTCCGCTGAGCACTGTTGTTCAACGTTTGACTGTCCTCTATTTAAGCTGCTACTTCCCCAAGGTCCACCAGGCCAATAGAAGGAGCTAGAGGGTCTGAGCCCGTAGCCTGATGGTCCCATGTCTGTGCTCTTCGTCCCCACTGACCCTCCACCTCTTCCTGTGATGTCACATTCTGCCTGTGTGTTCCAGGCTGGTTACTAGGCTCCTTCCTGCCCAAATGCCGCTGGATCAGCTCTACAACACCACCACTCTGCAGGATTGACCACTACAGTGTCTCTTACCATCTCCATCAGCCCAGCTGCTATAGCACGAAACACCGGTGGCACCTGCAGGACGTTTTGAGGAATGGTCATCTCTCATATACAGAGATCAGCTTTATTTTATCACTTCCTATGTAAGTGTTTTTAATCCTTTGCTATTAAATAGTGTCATTACTATACTCAGATGGGCGCCTCCTGTTTCTTTTCTTCTAAACCCCCCTAATGGGGGCACAGACAGCAATAAAAACCTCACTGGTGTTCTAATCCCTCCCTGCACTATCCCAAAAACCTAAAAATATTTTACCTTTAGTTATACGATCTTGTAGTATCCTGGTGGCAGTGTTTTTTTGTTATTACTGAATTCAGATAGGACAGCCTCTGTGAGGCCTTTCAGTCTAAAACATTTTATTATTACATAGTAGATAGCAGAATGATGATGTAAACAGCCTACTGTGGGCAGAAGGAAACAGGGGGCTGAACAGTGTCAGACATTTTGAAACAGACAGGCACCAGTATTTATATTTATAAATAAAGTGCAGCGCTAAGTGATAAATTTGAAAATTGTCCATTGTAAGTCCAGTTCATATAAACGTGCCAGGTGACAAATGGAAATCCACAATGGTGATCCGTGAGGAAGTAGCAGAAATGTGCACTCACCAGAAGGCGGATATATATAAGCAGTATATATCAAAAGCTCATGGATCCTCGGTCAAGAAGAAACAGGTCTGGTCACTGTGGATTGGCCTTTCCTTTCTTCAAGGGTACAGAGCGAAATTCTTCCTCCTCTTAGGTGGATGCTTGGATTCCTAATAAGGACTCTGAAAAGAGGTACTCCTCCAAGGGAGTCAGGAAAGGACGCCCATAGTCTCACAATTCTGCCTAAGAACACAGCCATGAATAAAGAATGGTACAAACACATCCTCCGAGAGCAACTTCTCCCAAACATCCAAGAACAGTTTGGTGAAGAACAAACAATGCCTTTTCCAGCATGATGCCATAGGGCAAAAGTGACTGCCCAATGGCTTGGGGAACAAAACATAGAAATTTTGAATCCATGGCCAGGAAACTCCCCAGACCTTAAACCCATTGTGAACTTGTGGTCAATCCTCAAGAGGCGGGTGAACAAAAAAAACCACACAAATTCTGACAAACTCTAAGCATTGATCATGCAAGAATGGGCTGCCATCAGTCAGGGTGAGGCCCAGAAGTTGATTGACAGCATGCCAAGGCGAATTGCAGAGGTCTTGAAAAAGAAGAGTCAACACTGCAAACATTGAATCTTAATGTAAATTGTAAATAAAAGCCATTGACACTTATTAAATGCTTGCAATTATACTCCAGTATACCATAGTAACATTTGACAAAAAGATCTACAAACACTGAAGCAGCAGACATTGTGAAAATTAATCTTTGTGTCATTCTCAAAACGTTTGGCCACGGCTGTAGGGTACATGGTCCTGCAGACACAGAGGGGTTGATTTACTAAAACTGGAGCATGCAAAATCTGGTGCAGATCTGCATAGAAACCAATCATCTTCCTGTTTTTGTTGTCAAGGCTTCATTGAACAAGCTGAATCTCAAAGATGATTGGCTACAAAGCCGACCTGCACCAGATTTTGCACTTTGCAGTTTTAGTAAATCAATCCCAGAGGGACAATCCATTGTTGGAACATTGGAGAGTGCCATATGCTGGGGGAGCAGAGGGTCAGGTAAAGTAAAAGTGCTACTAGTCCCCCTAGATGTAAAAGATCACCTAATCCTTGCTGTGCTTTCACAGCCCCTCTGCGAGGGAACATTTTCTGATTTTACTGAAGTTGAGCTTTTAAATCCATTTTCATACTTTGCAAAACAATATATTTGTTCTTTTCGGCTTGCTGTAGCTAGACAATGTGGAGCATTATGGACTACATAATAACTATGAGAGAAGTTTTTGACATTAATGACTTTAGTTTAAAGCTTCTTTCAGCAAGGACAGCCAGTTTAGTCAGCAGAAAATGTTCTGTAAACATATGTTTTCTGAATAAGTGATGTATTTCCTTTGAAAGAGGCTGTAATATTGAGCAGTGTGTTAATTAAAGACATAATTAATGTGACAGGAGGAACAATTTTTAACACTTAAGCAGATGAAAGGAGGTGAGTAATTTTTGGAAGGGTGTGCTGCATGTTAAAGAGTGTTAACATTAAAAGATATGGAAATGTTTTTCAGAAGGAATGAAATGTATATATATACATATATATATATATACATACATACATACATACACTATATTGCCAAAAGTATTGAAGTATTGGACACCCCTCCAAATCATTGCACTCAGTTCACCATGTTCACCTCCATGGCCACAGGTGTATAAAATCAAGCACCTAGGCATGCAGACTGCTTCTAAAAACATTCGCAAAAGAATTGGTCGCACTCAGGAGCTCTGTGAATTCAAGTGTGGTACCGTGATAGGTTGCCACCTGTGCAACAACTTCATCCGTGAAATGTCCTTGCTACTAAATATTCCACGGTCAACTGTTATTGGTATTATAACAAAGTGGAAGCAACTGGGAACAACAGCAACTCAGCCACAAAGTGATAGGCCACGTAAAATGAAAGAGCGGGGTCAGCGCATGCTGAAGAGCACAGCGCAAGTTGCTAACTTCAGGTTATCACAACAGTGCGTAGAGAGTTTCGTGGAATGGGTTTCCATGGCTGAGCAGCTGCATCCAAGCCTTACATCACCAAGTGCAATGCAAAGCGTCAGCTGCAGTGGTTTAAAGCACACCACCACTGGACTTAAGAGCAGTGGAGACGTGTTCTCTGGAGTGAGGATTCACGTTTCTCTGGCAATCTGATGAATGTGTCTGGGTTTGGCAGTTGCCAGGAGAACAGTACTTGCCTGACTGCATTGTGCCAAGTATAAAGTTTGGTGTAGGGGGGATTATGGTGTGGGGTTGTTTTTTCAAGGGTTGGGCTTGGCCCCTTAGTTCCAGTGAAAGGAACTCTTAAGGGGTGAGCATACCAAGACATTTTGGACAATTTCATGCTCCCAACTTTGTGGGAACAGTTTGGGGATGGCCTCTTCCTGTCCCGACATGACTGCACACCAGTGCACAAAGCAAGCTCCATAAAGACATGGATAAGCGAGTGTAGTGTGGAGGAACTTGACTGGCCTGCACAGAGTCCTGACCTCAACCCAATAGAACACCTTTGAGATGAATTACAGTGGAGACTGCGAGCCAGGCCTTCTTGTCCTACATCAGTGTCTGACCTGACAAATGCACTTCTGGAAGAATGGTCAAATATTCCCACAGACACACTCCTAAACCTTGTGGAAAGCTCCAGAAGAATTAAACCTGGTATAGCTGCAAAGAGTGGACCACCTCAATATTGAACCCTATGGACTAAGATTGGGATGCCATTAAAGTTCATGTGCGTGTAAAGGCAATACTTTTGGCAATATAGTGTGTTTATATATATATATATATATATATATATATATATATACACACACACACACACACAACTCTCAACTCTTCAACTCTTCTGGGAAGGCTGTCCACAAGGTTTAGGAGTGTGTCTATGGGAATGTTTGACCATTCTTCCAGAAGCGCATTTGTGAGGTCAAGCACTGATGATAGATGACAAGGCCTGGCTCACAGTCTTTGCTCTAATTCATCCCAATTGTTTTCTGTTGGGTTGAGGTCAGGACTCTGTGCAGGCCAGTCAAGTGTCTCCACCCCAAACTTGCTCATCCATGTCTTTATGGACCTTGCTTTATGCACTGGTGTGCAGTCATGTTGGAAACGGAAGGGGTCATCCCCAAACTTTTCCCACAGAGTTCCCTTCACTGGAACTAAGGGGCCAAGCTCAACCCCTAAAAAACAACCCCACACTATATTTCCCCTCCACCAAACTTTACACTTGGCACAATGTAGTCAGGCAAGTACTGTTCTTCTGACAACCACCAAACCCAGACACATCCATCTGATTACCAGAGAAGTGTGAATCCTCACTTCAGAGAACAGGTCTCCACTGCTCTAGAGTCCAGTGGCGGTGTGCTTTATACCACTGCCTCCGACACTTTGCATTGCACTTGGTGATGTAAGGCTTGGATGCAGCTGCTCAGCCATGAAAAAACCATTCCATGAAGCTCTCTACGCACTGTTGTTGTGCTAATATGAAGGCCACATGACATTTGGAGGTCTTTAGCTATTAACTCTGCAGACTGTTTGTGACTTCTGTGCACTGTGCGCTTCAGCTTCTGCTGAACCCGCTGTCATTTTATGTGGCCTACCACTTCATAGCTGAGTTGCTGTTTTTCCCAGTTGCTTCCACTTTGTTATAATACCAATAACAGTGGACTGTGGAATATTTAGCAGCAAGGAAATTTCACGGATGGACTTAATGCACAGGTGGCAATCTATCACGGTACCATGCTTGAATTCACTGAGCTCCTGAGAGCGACCCATTCTTTCACAAATGTTTGTAGAAGCAGTCTGCATGCCTAGGTGCTTGATTTTAGACACCTGTGGCCATGGAGGTTATTGGAACACCTGAATCCAATGATTTGGATTGGGGGGATCCTAATACTTTAGGCAATATATTTTATATATATATATATATATATATATATATATATATATCTATAGATAGATAGATAGATATATATATATATAAAATCATCATTGAACCCCACTTTTTTCCTTACTGGGAAAGTCCCTGTTTCCATGATACTCAAATGTATTTGACTGGTAGTGTTTTTTCTCTTACACAGCAGAGCACAACGTGTGAAATGGCATCTGTAACATTCAGTTTGACATGCAGATTATTATAAAAAGCAAGCTGTAAAATAGGAAGTCATTGTGGTACATTCCAATGAAAAAGCAATGTGGAATTTGAATTGATGTATGGCTTTTGCAGCTCAATTTTATTTAACAATATCAGACATACGGTATGTACATTTATTACAAGTACTTATATAGCACCTTCAATTTACGCAGCGCTTTACAGTTTGTACATTCACATCAGTCCTTAACCCTCAAGGGGTGTACAATCTAAAGTCACTAATTTACATTCATATACTAGGGTCAATTTAGGCAGGATCCAGTTAACCTACCAGCATGTATTTGGAGTGTGGGAAGAAACCCACGCAGGCAGAAGGAGAACACGCAAACTCCAGGCAGGTGGTGCCAATTTTTAGGATTCAAACCAACAACCCTAGTACTGCCAGGAGGAAGGGCTAACCATTTAGCCACTGTGCTGTACATATCTAAAGAGATGTTGGGAATGCTCTTTTTTAGTCTTTTAGACTCCTAGCCAGGATTGTAGTCAGAATTAGGGGAACTGAATTCCTCCCTTAGTAATTTATTTTTAGCCATTTTCACATTACTTGTCTCAAGGCATACTTTGACATGTTGAGAAATGATAAGTGTGATTTTTTTTGTCTCACTGTCTTTATGGTTGCTAATTCATTCCAAAGCTAAATGTTATATATTTAGGCTTTTTAAATCCCTTGGACATAACACTGGGTTTCCCACTTTCTTGGTGAAAATGAAACACAAAATCATAAAAAGACAATTTAATATAGAAAAGTATAGCATGTTATACTTAACTTTATATTGCTTGCTCACATTTTCATTTCACTTCCCCAAGATACAGTATATTAATCATATAGACCTTAATATGTAATGGATATTTAGACTTTCTCCCCAAGTTTTCATTTTGTATGACACCCCAGAGTGTCACTTTGGGGTTGATGGGAAACAATTATAATATATAGTAAGTTTGTCATCATGGCCCTGATTTACTAAGAATTGAGTCTACCAGCAGATGCTGAACATTCAGGCAGACTCAATTCAATCAATCAAGACCTGTCAGTCTTCTAAAAGGCGTCTAGCAAACTCATTGAAAAGCGTCTACTTGTAGACTCTTTCCTGTTAGTAAATGTGGAATCATGTGTCATGTCATAATGTCAAGGATATAGCTGAAAGAGAGCTGAAGTAAATGCCTAAATCTAGCAGTGGACATTTAGAACATGTCTGTAAGCTGATACTGTAACTGGCAAATTTGTACACTGTGCTAAGACCGCGACTTCCAAAATGTGTAAGTGCATGCTATCCTATGATTTCATCCATTATAAGCAGTCAATAATGACTAATTCACATGTGGCTGGTGTGTGGTGTGGTCTGGAGGGATCACTGCAGTGCTAATGCACTGACATAAGCACATTTTTTAAACAAACTTTATTGAAACGTCACACAGACAGTCCATGAAGTTCAATTGGCCGCCTGGCAGTGCAAGGTGGTGGATTACCTCACACTGCACTGCACTAAAAAAAAGTACTACATACATTACTTTTTTCAACGTACATCACTGCAATTCAGTGGTGTGAAGCGGGCACACAGGAGACAAGGCGTTTTGCCTTGTCATGTGGTAAAACGGTGCTGGAATAGCTGCCCAGCGCAATCCCACTGCATCTGGTGTGAATAAACCCTTAGGGTTAGTTCAGCTTTTTACAAACCATGAAAATGTGAACTAACTCACTGCACCCTCCCCATGTCCCTGGTCCCCATTGCACATATTTCCTTCCTTGATTGTTTTCTGCTGCCTACACTAGCTGATGTAAGGGTCTGGGCATTTGAAAGATGAGCTCTACTTCACCCTTCTTTTTTCCAGGATGGCTTAAAATAATTCTCATTGGTTAGCATGGCTACATGCCGGTACTGACCAATGCCTGCCCACCATTGTGATCATTATGCTGTTACAGTCTGTGTACTGCATTTTTCAGATGCCCGGATAACTACAGCAGCTGCATGAGCAGCAGAAGATAATCAAGGAAGGTGATAAGTGCATCGGGCACCAGGGGTGTGAGGAGGGTGTAGTGAGTTAAGCTGGGTATACATGTATAAAAATTCGGCTGGTTCAGCAGGAACTGACTGAAGTTCAATCCATGTGAAGCCTTGTCTGTTCAACAGAAGCTGGTCATTAGACTGGCTTCTGTTGAACAGTCCCGCTGGAAAACAAGCATTTGATCAGCTGATGCAGCCAGTTGCTGCAGAGCTGATCAGTGTATTCTGATAGGGGGAGTCTCCACTGTCAGAATACATTAGCGCAGTGGGGGAGATCCTTGCATGCACATCATTTGTGTGGATGCAAAGACCTGAGAGTTCTATTTTTCATTCAACCCGCTAGTTGAAAAAAGAAAAAAAGTCTACATGTATACTCAGCTTTAGTCCACCTTTTCATTTCTTGTGAAAACATTTCAAATTTCATTACCACATCTGAACAGCTCAACCTTCTAGGAATGGTCAAACAACTCTTCCTACATTGTTCCAAATATATAAAATTACATTTTAATTTTCTGTTGTGTGGCAGGTTAAGTGGATTGGGAAGAAAGCAATTAGAAAATGTGAAAAATAGAAAATTCCCATTTATGGCTTATTTAGAAGACAGTATAAGGCTTTTTGTACACTTCAAATGATATAAAAAAAGGAAACAGTGCAGTGCGCTGAAAGGTGAGTCTCACCACTCCTTCATTGCAGCTCAGTGCAGGGAAAACCTGCCAGCTGCCTGAACACTAAAGCAGAGCATTTAGCATGTGGGCAATGTGAATAAACAACTTTTGATCAATTGACCAGAATTCTTTGAAACTCAGATATTCAGACCCAATTTAGCAGCATCAGGATGCTTTAGTTAGCTTGGCTATAGCTCTGGGACTACTCCATCAGTTTGACAGCAGGATTCTGAGAACTAAAAAGGGACATGGGTGACTGTTCCTGTAAAATTAATTAATGCTCCCATTAACATAGCATAGCTTAAGAAAAAATTTGAATTTCCTAGTTGCATTTTAAGTGCTTTTATTTGCGTAAAAATCCTTACATGCTCTCCCTGCTTTGCGATGTTTGGAAAGGGGCTGTGGAGTGATG